ACTACAGTAAACACGACAGAGTAAACAACAGCATAGAAAACGATCAGGATGACTTAACAGACTAACATAAGGACGACAGCGTATTTAACAGTAAGGATGACAGTAAACCCTACTGAAAAAAATATGCTTAGTATCCTTGGATCCGGACTAATTGTCAGTATATTTTAAGTGTATTAATGATTAGTTTACTTAAAGTGTGACATTTTGGACACATTAATTTTGTGCTAAGTATATTTTAGTTGTAATAAAATTGCACTAAAGTACAACTTTAAGTGTATTTAGTGTACTTTTGTGTGCTAAATTGGAACAACTTTAAGTATATTTAGTACACTTTAAATAAGCATACTATGTATGCTAATTTCATGCTTGCTTAGTGACATTAGTGTTTTTTTTCTGTATTACAAGTACATTAAAAATTAATTACGAGTGCATTTTAAACACATGCAATATACCATAAATATATTAGTTTTCTTACTAAATATGTTAAATGCAACTTCAATAAAAGTCAAATACACCCAAATGAACAATTCAAACAGTTTTTATTAAAATCTTTGACAATTTTTTACAGAATCATTCAAGAATATATTTTTATTCTATTAAAATTAGTACACAATACTGCAGAAAATGTTCTTCAGAATTAAACATTACAATTTAAGAACAGATCTTTTAAAATGCCATGATATTCCTGAAAGTCCATGACTGTGCAAAGTCTGCACATGTACTGTACAAAATGTACTGTGCTTCAACAAACAAGTGCACAACAAACATCAAATATGTTTCACCATATCCTTATAGTGGAGCCTTTGATTAAGGCCCAATCCCAATTCTACATCTTGGCCTTTCCCCCTTGGTTCGCGCATTCACATGAAGAGGTCCAGTGTCCCAATTCTCTTCATTAGCTTGGTGGTGTAGAGGTAAAGGGAAGGGCCACATAGCCCTTCAAATTAAGATTTTTCAAGACCACACTACAAATGAAGAGGTATGAGAGATAGATAGATAGAGAGATAGATAGATAGAGCGAGAGATAGATAGATAGATAGATAGATAGATAGATAGATAGATAGATAGATAGATAGATAGATAGATAGATAGATAGATAGATAGATAGATAGATAGATAGATAGATAGATAGATTGATTGATTGATAGATAGATAGATAGATAGATGATTGATAGATAGATAGATAGATAGATAGATAGATAGATAGATAGATAGATAGATAGATAGATAGATAGATAGATAGATAGATAGATAGATAGATAGATAGATAGCTTTATATATAATTAAATTTAAATAAAATTACAGATTTTTTTTTATTAAATGCTAATAATAGAAAATAATAGAAGACAGATAGACAGATCAATCGACAGATAGTTTTATTCTATAATATATATATATTATAATTTTAGTTTTATATAATTCAACTTATTAAATGCTAATAATAGAAATCAATAAAAGGCACAAAAAAATAATTATATATATATATATATATATATATATATATATATATATATATATATATATATATATATA